CCCGATACCAGTATCGGTGCATCCCTAACTGCTGGGATTTGAGTGGTTTTATATCAAAGATTTTTCTGTTATCTGTAGGTTTGCACCTCTGCTCTGCACTTGTCTGTGTCCTGTACATGGAGGTAAAGCAGGAAGTCGGTATCAGGGACTCCAGCACCTTCAGGTCTGAGAACAGTCCTTTTGTGTGAATCAGCCTCGGGGTAAATATCACATCCAGCCAGGTGGTCGTCTGGGATCTACTGATGTTGGTACTGTATTATTCAGAAGCAGCAGTCTAGTACATGCTGTGTGTGGCAGCAAAAACATTTGATACTCACGGTCGCATCCAGGCAAGTTTCACTTCCGTAGTTTTTGTTGGCTCTACCACAACTGGGAGAATAAAAAGTCTGCTTATTTCCATTTATTTGCATAAGTTAACAGCTGATAGAGCTCAGACATACGGGACAGTATGAGTGAGCAAATACAAACCTGTTGGTGAGTTTAAGTACATAGTTACTTGCACTAATGTGTACCTTTCTTTTAAAGAGTGAGAGCATTCATTAACTTTGAAACATGGTGTGTTATCCTGCTGGAAGCAGCCAACAGAAGGTTAGCAACAATACTCAAATGATACTCAGCTTTCATTAAAAAGTCGTCTGGATATTTTCTCTTTTCTGGATAATTATCTATAAACTCTGGTTTTGTGGTTTGTGGGAAAAATATTGAAATATTTAGATAAGCTGCCTGACACCAACAACCATGCCACCTTCAAAGTCAGTTAAATCACCTTTCCTCCTCGTTCTGATACTCAGTTAAATTTCAAGAGTGCCTTTTACCCATGTGTACATGTCTAACTGCATGTCATATGATTGGCTGGTTGGATTTTTGTGTTGTATGTAAAATAAGAATATAGGGGGAAAAAATAATTTTAAAGACTCAAATCTTGCCAGAGATGTTTGTTTGAGGGACTGGAGCTACACTCGTGTGCACTTACCTGTTGTAGTTGATAGTACTTGAATCCTTCCAGAGAAACTTGCAGTATTTGTTGATGTCTCTGCTGAGCAGTAAAGGGCCCGGCACTCTGTTCACTGTTAAAATGTCAGCAGTTTATGAGTGAGTGAGTGAGTGAGTGTGTCTGTTCAGATCCACGATTTACTATATTGTCACTGAGCACTACCTAAAAGACACAATGCAGAATGAAATTATGCTGCACAAGCTCACATAAAGACATAAAAACGACAGTGTTATAAAGTCAGTGTTACTTATTTAAAAAACACAAACACAAATATTCAGTTATTGCACAAGAGAATGCTGATTGCATTGAAATTTTTTTGTTGTCAGATTTGTGGAGTGTAATAATCTACAGCACACCAGCTGTTTCTGTTCAACAGTCACCTGACAGTAAAGAAGACACCACTCTCACAGCTTCTTCCACCGCTGCCTCCAGCCTTCCTTTCTCAGCCTCTGATAGGCTGTCGCTCTCTCTCGGAATCCAGGTCCGGATCCTCATTGGCTGTGGTGAGGTAGGAGTAGGTGAGCCAGATTTTCCCAGGATGCTCCTCTGCTCCTCTGACCTTCTGAGCCTGAGCTCCTTGGGTGGGCTGTCTGCAGCTCTGACCACTCTGACCTGAACCTGAAGCTCATCAAAGATGCACCTCTGCAGGGCTCCTGGGAGCTCCACCACGACCACCATTACCACCAGCACCATCCCCACCCAGAGGTTCAAGGATGGAGGGGAAGCCATAATTATGGTGGAAACCTATTTCAGGGTAACAGTGAGGAAGAGGAGATGATGTAATACTTCAGATGGCCACTGAGGCTCCCAAAATATGGCCGTGAATTTATTTGATTTTATTTATTTCTGTCATTGTGTCATGTATTTGTACAGATTATAAAAAAGGATCAATAGTATTATTCTGACAATTTGGGGTTAACTGTAACATCATTAACTCCAGCTCCTCCTCTGTCTCCAAACCATACATCACAGCAAATCTCGCTGCCATGTTGCAAACAGAACAGTTAAAATAATAAAGTAACTGTAAACACTGAGTTCTTCTGTCTGCAGCTTTGAGCTTTCTTAGGTCAGTAATGACAAATCAGAGGTCCACAGAAGCAGCTACACGGATAGATCCACTCAAACTATTTAAATAATAGTAAATTACAGTTTAAAACTTTCAGAGTCTCTAGAAAACAAGTTTGGGCTGGTGCCATTAACTAAAATAAATACTTCATCAGTAGAAATAGTTAAAACAAACAAATCAAGGTTTTGAGGTTTCAGCTCACTAAAAGTTGGCTAATAGCTGCAACTGTTTAATAAACATACTGAACAGAAGGTGGTTACTAAAAGAAGTGAAAAGCTGTTAAAGAAGAAAGTAGTGGATAGAAATAATAATGAACAGCTATGGATAAGCAGTTGAGTTTGCTAAGCACAAACACTAAGCAGTAAACAGGAAGCAGTCCAGATCCTGTTTGATGCTGGTTCAAGTTTAAACATGAAAGGCAGTGATGAAGAAAGAGTGCATGAGTCAATCTGACAGGGCTCACAGAAAGGTTGGGAAACCTCATCATGAATAACCTGAAGTAAGTAAGGTTTTTCCTCAAACAGGTGTGTAACTGGACTGTGTGGTGCAGGTTTTGTAGAGTGTGAGGTCTGTTAAACAGGAATGTAATGCAGAGCGTTTAGATCTTGCTTTCTTTAGATGTAAAGGAGATTGAGTCATCCATCAGGCCAAAACAGAGGTTATCGTGTTAAAACTTGCACGTGGGGTGCTGTGTAGAAAACCGCTTCAATAATTAAATGGAGTCAGTATTATTACCTGGTAGACAGCTGCGACCTCAGTCCATCTGTGGAGTTTCAGAGCTCTAAAGTAAAAGCATTTTCCTTTTCTCCTCCAAACCAGAGCAATGAGCACAACTTCTGCATTCCCACCAAGAACAGCTCTCTCCTTCTCTCTGTAGGGAGTCTGTGTGAATTACCACAGATCTTTTGAATACAGAGCACAAAGAAACATCTCTGACATGTCTCACTGAGGTGTCAGGTGGCACCCCCACAGCCGATATCCCCAAAAAGAAAACACAAAAAAGACAAAAAAAAACTAAAAGTGCAAATCGTTTAATCTCAGCCATATTTTTTTACTTATATACAGTGAAGTTGACCCAAATAAAATCCCCCCCCCCCCCCATTTATCTGTAAATTTAAAACTGTCCCTCCCCAAAAAATACATTCAACAAAGCAAAACAGGAACAATTTAAGGAAACAGACAAAACCTGCTAAAAGAAAAGAAAAAAAGACCACAAAACTCGTAATAATAATAATATTAATATTACAAATGGCACACCACAAGTCTGCTGAGTCGAAATGTGACCGAATGCTGTTGAGTCTCGTCAGATGTGAGGTTCTTTTGTGAATTTGGAGGCCCCCCCCTCGACCCTTTTATCACTAGGGTGCCTCATCTTCCTGTGCACACCTACACACATCATAAAATCAGGCACCAAAGAGATTGTCTTTTGATACGTTTGCTTTTTGTTTTTTTGAAGGTTACATTCATTCACCGGGGGAGGAAGTATTTAAACACACAGTAATGTTGGAATCGATGTGCACTAGAACGAGGGTATCCAAAAAGTTATTGCCAGCTTGAAGAGTACACATGCAGTTTTTTTAAATCCATTTTGGAGTGAAGTCACCATGACGACGTAAGGAAAAAGTGACCCTCATTGTGTGCGTGTGTGTTTCTGCATGCAGTGTGTGTTCAGGAATTCTCAACATCCTTGAGGTCTCTGCAGGAGGCTCCTTAAAGGCACTTAAAAAGGGGGAATTTGTTTCGTGATATATCATGAGACTGGGTGCAAGTGAAGACACTCCTCATGTGCAATCACACTCCGCTGTCTACGCGAGACTAAAACGCAGTTGCATTCACACAGTCGCAGTCACACAAACACAACAATTTCCATTATAAGAGCTATAATCATTCAACCTGACAGTAGCCTGCCTCAGTATCTGGATAGGGAAGATTCTTCTGTGCAAAAAAATAAAAGTTCACCTTCTACGTGCAGCCCAGCGTTCAGTAAGTGCTCACGCATAATACTCATCTGCGCTTCTTCATCGGCCGTGCCGTTCGTCTGCATTTTCTTAAGGAAGTCTTTTTTTCTTTCTTTAAAAATACTCTATTCTTATATGTCAGCAACGCAAAGCGATTAAAAAAAGAAAAAGGCACCAGACTGGCACAAAGAGGAAGAGTCCCACCGCCGGCCGCTCCTGTGTTTCAGTTCAAACGAATGTGGAAAGACTGGTGGGAGGTAAAGTAAGAGGGAGGGGGTGGGAAGGGGTGGGTGAGGAAGTCGTTCAGGTGAGCATGGGCACGTCATCTTCTGAAGTGTTGTCCTCCGAGAGGGGGATGAGCAGCACATCGTCGTCTGAGGAAGAGGAGGAGGAGGAGAAGGAAGGCGAGGCAGAGAGGGGCACGTAGTTGGTGGAAGAGGGCGAGGCTCTGAAGCGGGAGATGCTCAAGCCTATCGTGTGGAAGATGGAGGCCAGAGATGGGCTACTGGGAGGCACGGCAACAGGGGGAGTGTGGGGGGCGTCCAGAGGTGGAGCTGGGGGTGCGTAGGGAGGGGGAGGGGGGAAGGCGACAGGAGGAGCTGAAGGCAGCGGCAGGAAAGGAGGCGGAGCTTCCAGCTGGGGCTGTGCTGGCGGTGCCAACAAGCCGAGTTTCTGGGCCACCGGCTGGTTGACCGCCTCCACGGCTGATGGGGAGCTCGCGGGCGTGGAGCGAGCTGCTTCTTGGCCTGATGTAGCGCTGTCTGACTGCTGCTGTTGCTGCGCCTGCTGCTGGTTGGAGCTTGACGACTGAGTCTGCCTGGATGTGGATCTGGGAATCAGACCCCACCTTCTCATGCGGCGAACAGCCCGGCGGATAAATCGGGGCCTACGTCTGCGGTGTGGGGAGCTGGCGGCATCCTGGCGAAGCAGCTGCAGGATTCCTCTCAGAGAAAGAGTCGAGGTCTGACAAAGAAACACAGAGCAGATTGTTTCAACTACCTTCAGCAGCTCATGTTCAACATCCTAAAATCATTATTAAAAATCATTAAACCTGCTGAATTTCTTTACGCGACACTAATCAAAGTTTGAGCTTAGTGTAGGCGGCTTCAGCTAATCCCATCAGGCAGAGCCAGCCACTTTATCCCTCCGCCTCCACTGCCTCAGCTGTCTCACCAAGCACTAATAAAAGAAGCTCAGAGTAAACTTGCAAAGTAACAGCACATTAGCTTCATCTTAACACTCCTCCAACTTCAGCCCACATCCAGCTGGGGATCAATAAGGCTGCTATAGATGAGCTTTAAGACAGAGAGCACTACTACACATTAGAGTGTGTGATTTAATGTAGTAACAGCTATCGGCTTTTCTGCGTTTAATTACATTTATTAAAGCCCTTAAATCAAAAAGCCTTCAATAAGATGTTGATTTGTAGGTTTTAACACATTAATTAAAACTGAAGTTAGTTAATCAGTTTTTCCTGCTGAAATTTCAACACTTGGGTTTTTTAAAAAACGCCTCTAAATGCCTTAAATGTATATTGTAACTCTGCAGGACAGGCTGCAGTCAATCACATGGGTTCTTTAAACAAATGAGTATGATCTAAAGTCCTGACAGGATCCTGGATTGATGAAATCCTGACAGGTGCATCCATGCGGGCAGTTAAAAATCTCTGGCACCCTGCTCTCTCACCTCATTGGGGTTTTCTATGGGGAAGTCCTCGACTGGGGGGATGATACCCTGTGCGATCAGCTGACCGTAAGAAGGCGGGGCCTGCTGCTGGATGAGCTCCGCCTCGTGGCGGTTAATTGGCGCAAACATGCTGTGAGAGAATAGAGGCTCTTTTAGATGCAGTCACACACATTGCAAACTTGCCAAGCACATTTTGTTGTTGTTTTGAAGCATCATGCAGATCCACATAAAGTATACAAATATAAAGTCTAGAAATAGATTTGACTCTAAGAGGTACTATTAAAGGTTAAAAAAAAAGGTAAGCTTTTAATACACTGCAGGTTATTGGTTCCTGTTGTTGTACATAACTCGAGCATTTAGCTGACAACAACAACGAACAGGCTGTTTTTTTGTTTTTGTGTGGAGTGTACTGTCAGTGTTGTAGGAGGCTGTGCTATCCATCTGAGAGTTACTGTCTGGCAGTTCTGGCAGCAATTAAAGCCAGAAGTTAGGAAAACAATGTCTGCATCTCCTGACTCATCATCTGAGATTATCAGCACAATATATGAGTCAGTCTTTTGTTCTTTAAAAGTGGCAAGAAAGCCTCATTATGCTTCATCAAAGGAACGAAAATAAACTAAAGCAGCTACTTTGTAGAGCAGAAGAGCTTCGGCTGCAAACCTCAAACAAAAACGCAGCAGAACCATTCAAAGACTTACCTGTACTCCCTCGTCCTGAGCGAGTACAGTTTACAGGTACAGCCCATGGCAATGACCAGAAGTAGTCCGCAGACCAGGCTGCCCACCGTTGCCGCGGTGATGACCTTGCGAGGCAAGATTACCGTGCAGTTGAGCTCGTCTGTGCCGTCCTTGCAGTCCACCTGGCCGTCACAGCGCCAGCTCTCATACACGCACCTGCAGAGGGAACAAAGAGCCGTTTGTTACCAGAGCAGGCTGGAAGAAAATGAGTGGCAGGGTCAATTTCACAGAAAACATCAGACGCAACCTGAATTAAGACTCACAATAAAACCACAAAGCTGC